ACTCTTCTCCCTATTACTCGTTCCAAATTCGTACCTTTGTCCATCTTAATTGTGCATAGAAGCATAAGAAAGAATAAGAAATTATTTAAAAGTATTTTTTTATTTTGGGTGATAAATTCAAGAAGAACAACAAATATTAGTCTTTGCATGCATGTGAGAAATTTCGTGCGTTAAAAGGCGCTCGTCTGGAAGCATATACCGGCGTACTAATGAAATTCCCAACGATCCCAACTGCGAATTATAAGCTGAGAAGCAGGGGGAAAGTTGCAGAGGCTTATTTGTTAGGGCTTTAAAGAAGGTAGTGTATGCCCAGTTCTTAGTTTTAGGCCCACTCGATCACTGGCGAATATTTTGCCACTTTGGACACATTGGGCCCAGCAGAGATTAGAGAGAGCGGGAGATGGTCCTGGGCTCGTAGCACCTACCTTTGATTTTGATTTTGATTTTCAAACCCTCATCCTACCTTTTAAGCATTTTGGGTGTGGATTGTAGAAGAAACAACTTACCATGTTGACAAGTAGTACTAGATGGTTAAGAATACAAGTAGACATCACCTAATTGTGCAGCATATCATATGAGTTTGACCTTTTGCTTATTAATTGAAGCGCGTATAATTCATCGAAACATTGATATAGTTTTCCCTTCTTAAATGTTGTTGTTGGACGAAGTTCGTACTCATTTTTCGTAGCCATTTTGTTGACAATATTAATGAACTCAAGCCAGTTGTTATAGTGGCTCCATACTTTGTTATAATCCCCCCCCCCCTTTTTTTTTATAGTAGTGTAAGCGAAAGAAGAGCTCGTTACTCTGTCTCACTATGTCTATTGATCCTTCATTTTACTGCAAAAGCTTGATGGACAATACCGTAAAACACAGTACAAGTTTGAACCTATTCTCGAGAAATTATGGCTTCCCGCGAGAAAGAAGCAAAAAGTTGAAAATGACGAAATAGTAACATCCAATTGCATATTTCATCATAGAAACTAGCAAGACAAGCTGCCACAGGCCGTGGTTCACGCACAATCAAAATAATGTATTGCCTGAAAAAGAAAAACAGAGGAGGGAGGGCCATGGGGCTATTGGCATTGAACCTCAACATCCGGTTCAACAAAACAGAAGAGCAACAAACATACGAGCTTAAGAATAAATTAAAAGGAGAAACATCTACATATTTGTGAAAGGGGTGATCTTGATGACTAACCCAGGGAAAACATCATCTGGATCATGAATATGGGGATTCTGCTCAACGATGTAAGGATCCCCACATTTTTCACTGATAGTATGCAGAGTCTCTCCTTCGCGTACCACATAAATCTCATCACACGGCTGTTCAAGTAGTAATGAGGATAATATTTGCTGCTTCTGCTGTTGCACTTCAAACTCCTCCTCAGTTGATTCACAGCAGCTTAACACCAACATTAAAGCCAGGAACAAGGCACAGTACCAGGACACCGTCTCTGCTAGAGCTGTCGATGGATGGATGCGGCCTGACATGTTATGTTTTAAACTCAACTCTTCCTCGAATTCGTAGCGATGATTGTTCCCTCTCTCTCTCTCTCTCTCTCTCTCTCTCTATAGCAAGTATGTGCATGCACATGTACCAAAAAATTGTCTCACTTGGAGGAGAGTATTTGCAGGACTCTTAGTATCGAGGATTAGGAGGAGTTAATGTTGTTGTTGCGAAGTAAGCTAAAGAGATGATGATGTTTGATTTGGCATGGTGGTCGTTTTGGAGTACAAGTGCAGGTCATTGGAGTGGTTAAGCAGCAGTGTTCCTGCTGGAGGGAGAGGATTGAGACGGGTTCGTTTCTTGGGGGGTGGTAGGTAACTGTCTCAAGTGAAGAAATATTGGAACGTATAAAATGAGGGAGGGAAAGTTGGTTTAACTGCTTTATTAAATGGTAGTGAAGACTTGAGATATCTCTTGACCATAGTTGATAAAGCAATCATTCAACATTTTTTACTTGCTCTCAAGTCTCAACCAACCTTTTTTTAGGTTTGTTTCCGTGACTAGTACTACATATGGAGTAGCAGTATATGCCCCAATCTTTACTCCTACAAGGCTATAACCCATTTGCTTTGAATGTCAATTGTGGGCATATTTCGATGGAGTTGTAAAGAAGGATGAAGAGCCATTCAACGCATTACCTGCAACAATTAGCCATAGCTTCTGTGTTTACAGATATCAGTAAACTGTTTATATCAGATTCTCTGTGTGCGCGCAGGAAATATTAAAACTGTCAAATACTTATGTAATTAAGGAACGTAAAACATTTTTTTTTGTTGGATTAATCTTATATACACTATCACTATTAGATATATGACACATGCGCAAAATTTGAATTTGAAATTTAAAATTTAAAATTTACTCAAGTGTCATCCATCCAATCATGATAGTATATACACTCACAGTGTATATAAAATTTACTCTTTTTTTTTTTTATGTAGGAAGAACCACACGGGTGCATGACTTGCAAAACCGGTTTCTTGATAATTATGAGAACGAGGACTGATCAGGATTGGATGCCAAAAGAGTGAAGGAAATGTTGCCCCTAATTTCAACTTTTTGTTGCGGGAATTACAAGTTAGAAAATTAGAGGGGTCAAGTCATTATATACTCATTAGTAGAATAGAAGGAGGGGGGGGGGGTGTGTGTGTGAGAGAGAGAGAGAGAGATAAGAGTCCTTTAACGATGCGTTTTGGTAGCAGGCCAGCTTAGTTAGTATAGTGAGATGGGAGTAGTAGTTGGTCATTCGCAGGTCAATAATCAATTTTCAGTTTCACCCAACAAAAGCAGTGAGCAGGTGATTGGGTTTTTCTTTGGTTGGAGGGGGGGTTTGGGGGGGAGTCCTGAATTTGATTTGTTAGTTGACGTTTATGAATTAGAATTGAGGTGTGGGGGACAATGTTCGTCCTCCTTTAAACGCCAAGAATTGGCAATCAAGTCTATAATAGAGTATTTAATAAGTACTGCTCTGGCAACGGAATACCTAAATCGTGCAGTATTATTATGCCACTAATAATACGCTAATGTCACATTTGACATAGACAAAGGTGTTTTATCACACTCCAAACATTGGAGCATTTTTTTTTTTTTATGTTTGGTAATTAAAGAAGGTTATTTTATAGTAGTAACAACAACGGAACCGCATTATATGGTTGACTTTTCAATTCACAGCTTTTTTCTGTGATGGCGAACCTTTGGCTTGATGATGATGCGCCTGCAGACAGAACGATGGCTGAATGCTGAGTGCCAGCAGGAATTTTTTGATTAATCCAATAATGTCATTTGCCAAATTGTCACACTCAAACCTATCTTGTGAGAGATCGCTGGTTTAACTTCAGATTCGGATTTTGACAGACCAACGGATATTCCAAAATCTCGTTTCTGAGGGGCCGCATTTAATAATTCAATTTAGTGCTTAAATTTAATAAATTTAAATCTTAATACATTACATTGAACTAAAAAAATTAGAATATCTAAATTATTAAGATCACACTAAATATTCTAAATAAAACTTGTATCAAAAAATAAGTATACATTGAAATGTATCGAATTTAGTATTTATCAATTTAATAATTTAATAATTTTAAATTTTAAATTTAAGATTTTAATTTTACCAAACGCACCGTAACTCTAGTGCATATACTAAGTTGGTATGTAAACTTGAAGCACACTTTACACGGCTCCGTTGAAATATTGCTCGTTCGGCATCATAAATACATTTTTTAATCACATTTATATCCCACACATATCACAAAAATTGCTATAATATTATTCTAGATACTTTTTTCGAATAACCCCCTATCTAGCCCCATTTTTTGTGTTGTCGCATACCAAAGTGAATGATTATAGACCATTAAGTCTGGTTTCCCATTTTCCTTTTACTTTCAAAGTATTTTAATTTCTCACCCTCCACAATTTCTTGAATTTTGCACACATGTAAATTTAATCCTCCTCCCTAGTAAATTAATTATGCCACAAGTAGTACATCTCAACAGGAATGGAAAAAAAAAAATAAAAAAACCATCCATTTCAAGTGCCACCTATCCGCAATTGCATAGTATTTTAACTAGAGGTGGCAAAATGGGCGGGATGGGCAGGATTTGCTTGAATTTGAGATGGAACCGAGTCATATGGGTTTGGGCCCAACCTTACCCATATGTGTTTTGGGACTAACTTGGGCGGGATCACTTTGGGATGGGTTTAGATTGATCCCGCCCAATACCCAAATCTATTTTTTATATATTTTTTCCTTTAATTTATTTTTAATTTTTTATATAACTTTAATTTTTTATTTATTAAATTTCTTTTAGTTTTATTAAATAAACATGCAAGTGCTTTATACTCAAGATTCCGACCAAAAATTGGATTAACAATAAAGGAAAAGATAGATATACAGCCATATTTCAATATATATCAAGATGGCCAAGGCACTTAGGGTGTTGAATATTTATACTCATCATTGTCCAAGGATGACAGGTCTAAACTGACTGAAATGTTGGAAATTCTTGTGAATAATAACTAGGAAGACTGCTAGTTTATATTCACTGGTATGACTATAAAAATTGTTAAAGATAATTTTTTAATCTAAGACTCCGTTTGGATTAGCTATTTTTTCAAAAAATAATTTTTTCAAATACAATGTTACAGTAATATATAATAACTCAAAAAACATCCCATCCATATTAGTATATCAAATATTTCAAAAAAAATTTATAGTAAAAATTTTTCATATACACTGCTACAATAAAATATTTCACAAAAACTCCAAAAAATAACTAATCCAAACGGAGCCCTTGCTATTTGAACCCAATGGGTACCCAAGTATTTCCCAAAATTTCCCATCAATTAATGGGTACAATTGGGATTTGTCCCATTTTAAACCCAACATCAAATTCCAGTACCCATATCGCCCAAAGTCCCCATGGGCGTAGGTAACCTATTGGGATTTGGAACAAATTGCCACCTCTAATTTTAATAAAGAATACTTGCAACATATCCCGGATAAATTATCTTTTATTACGTCATCAAATGAACATGTATCAGGTGTAAATAAATCAAAGATAATGAGCAGCATAAGTCCACCATTGCCCTATCTTGAACAGAGAAGTACCCAATTGCCGCATAGATATGCAGCGATTAACCATCCATAATGGAGTTTCATGACCGGTCCAACATGCACAGAAAAAGGTAATGTTTATGGTCAAGGTTTCATCAAGCTTTTCATGACATAGTTTAGCACTTCATCCACATCAACAGTCCATGCTACAGAAATAGGTGAATGGCCTGTCCATGGGTTGCTTGAATTCCATCTGTATCAGAGTATTGAAGTTAATTAAACAAGAACCTACGACCCAAAAAAAAAAGGGAAAATGCCGGTTTTCATCCCCAAACTGGGTAAGGACACATTTCGTCCCCCAACTTTTGGACACGACACATTTGATGTCCGAATTAATAATTTTTGACCAATGTCATCCTCAAACGACAATTTAGCCAATTTTTAACGGAACTGGTCACGTGAAAATCACATGACCGTTAAGTAAACTTAAATCACATTTTTAACAAAACTTGCCAGTTTCCTGAATGCAATTAGTCAACTTTTGGCAATTTTGACTAAGCATTCATCAATAAACACTTGCGTCCCGTACGTAAGGGGGGGGGGGAAAGCTAAAAATAAGGATAAAATAAAAAATAAGCAAGAAAAGAAATAATCAGCATGAAAAATGAAAGGGGATAATTTCACAAACATCCCTTGAGATTTTTAATAGTTACAAAAAGCTCCCCTCAAAATTTAAAAATTACATATACTTTGCATACTTTTACTATTTATATAAGAGCAAATTATTTGAGCAGCCATTGAACTATTTGAATAGTAAAAATTTGGCCCTTCAATTATTCATAACATATTTTTACCCATTGAATTATTAAAAGTATAAACTTTGAGTTATTCATAACATATTTTTACCCATTGAACTAGTATGTTTTGTATTTAATATAAATTAAATATGTGAAAGTTAAAAAAAATAATAAATTATCCATAACATACCAGTTCTTTATGGAAAACTGACAGGTTTTATAGTATGTTTTGTACCAACTCTTTATGGTAAACATACCAACTCTTTATAAAAAAAATTGGTTAACTAGCGCACCAAGAAAAACTAATATGTTTTGTATTTGACATAAATTAAATATATGAAAGTTAAAAAATAATAATAAATTGCCCATAACATACCAAGTATTTATGGAAAACTAGCAGGTTTTGTAGTATGTTTTGTACCACCTCTTTATGGGAAACATACCAGTTCTTTATAGGAAAAATTGGTTAAATAGCGCCCAAAGAAAAATTAGTATGTTTTGTATTTAACATAAATTAAATATGTGAAAGTTAAAAAAAAATAATAAATTGCCCAAAACATACCAGCTCTGTATGGAAAACTGGCAGGTTTTGTAATATGTTTTGTACCACCTCTTTATGGGAAACATACCAGTTCTTTATAGAAAAAATTCGTTAAATAGCGCCCAAAGGAAAACTAGTATGTTTTGTATTTAACATAAATTAAATATGTGAAAGTTAAAAAATAATAATAAATTGCCCATAACATACCAGCTCTTTATGAAAAATTGACAGGTTTTGTAATATGTTTTGTACCAACTCTTTATGAGAAATATACCAGCTCTTTATAGGAACAATTGGTTAAGTAACGCTCAAAGGAAAACTAATATGTTTTGTATTTAACATAAATTAAATATGCGAAAGTTAAAAAAAAATAATAAATTGCCCATAACATACTAGCTCTTTATGGGAAACTGACAGGTTTTGTTAAAAATGTGATTTAAGTTTACTTAACGGTCATGTGATTTTCACGTGACTAGTTCCGTTAAAAATTGGCTAAATTACCGTTTGAGAATGACATTGGTCAAAAATTATTAATTCAAACATCAAATGTGTCGTGCCCAAAAGTTGGGAGACGACCCAAAGTTTGGGTTTCCCAAAAAAAAAAGCACTTGAGAAGTGCAAAGCAAGCAAGGTAAAGCTTACTTTTTCAGCCCTTGGTCCATCAGGGTATGCCCCACGCTGATACCCTGTGTCTCAACCCTCACAACCCCTTTCTTGTATGTGAAGAGATCAGGCCGGACTAGAGCTACAAAACTAACAGGGTCGTGAAGAAAAATTCCTGCGCAGGCCGGTATTAAACATTAATATGTGAACCATCAAAAAGAGAAGATCTAAAAAGAATTTGAAAATAAGGCAGGTCAATGACAAATTGAAACTAGCGTTGTAAGCAGCCAAATTACCATAGACACCGTCAGATTTGACATGCCAGTCACGGTAGAATTTGCAAATGTCACACACAAATTGAGCATGTTTTCCATGAGATTGTCTTAGTTCATCAAAGGCAGCATCTGAACTTCACAAGACAACAATTATGAGAGAGTAACTTCCAATGAAAAGATTCAGGTGGGAAAATAGGCAAGTGGTAAATAGAAAGGGAAGAAAAACCTGTCATTTTGACTTGTGTTGTGATATTTATGCCAACAACATCAACATTTGCCCCAGAAGTGAACACAACATCTGCTGCTTCAGGATCACAATAAATCTGCAAGTCAAAAGCTTGAACACATTATTTGACTGACTGGAAATTGAAAGACTGTATGTTTTGCACCGAAGTAATTTGTCTTACAAAGGAAATCAAGTAGATCTTCTCTAAAAGACAATGGTTCAGTTAATGAAATATAAATAGACAACATTCACTAGTTGATAATAGATTTCTCAAATCAATTAACTAAAGAAGGGGAAGATATCATATTCACGGAATCAACCCAAGTATTCCTGTATTGGTGGAGGAGCACGAGCACCAGAAGCTCAAGCAGACTTTGTCAAGAGGAAAGAAACACAGCAAGACATGAGCCATTTGTTCAACAGTGTTAACATTTAAAGGAATTGATAGCAAATGAACATATTTTTGCGACAACAATTTAGACATCTAAAGTACTGTAAATGCTAATTTAAATTTATCACACCCTAAAGGGGATAAGAGTTAATGATCTATCTCCATATCAATGCAGTCAAATAGAAGGCACTGCTGGTGTTGCATACATTTGATTCAGCAGCAGGATTGACATTTCCCAAAGCGAAGAAAGCTCCACCAAGTATTACAATTCTTTTCACCTTGCTTGCAAAGGATGAGTCCCGCTTGAAAGCCTAAATGAAGAAAAGATAAACATGTAGTAAGGCAAGCAAATGAAGTAGAAATTGAAGCAGAGAAAGTAATTCACAAGGCAAGTTTCACTGGAAAAATTTTCCAAAAACTTACCAATGCCAAATTGGTTAGAGGTCCCAATGCAAGTATAGATACTTCGCCAGGGTATTCAGATACTTTATCAACCAAAAATTCAGATGCACTTTTCTCAATCTTCTTAGATTTTGGAGGAGGTAAAAATATGTTGCCAAGTCCATCTGAACCATGAACAAAGTCTGCGATGCATGGTGCCCCCCCCTAAAGGAAAGAGCATAAGCAGGATGTATCAAATACACCACTCAAGCTGAAAACTGAACAAGCATACTTAACACTGAATAATTTTTTTTTAGTTGACAGCAAATGTTATTCTATTAGCCAAGTAGCCATCAATAATTTATGAGTTATCATAATCAACTATAGATCACTGACTATGCTCACAAGAAAAAAAACCAAACAGTTAATTGACCCAAATGACACAAAGTGGTTACCTTGAGAGGTCCAGGGCTACCCTCTGCTACAGGCACACCTGGATATCCTGCAATCTCACACTATCCTTTTGCACATTAAAAACAGAACTTGATCATGTACACAATCCAAAAACAGGAAAGATTGCAAATTTCGGGAGCATAAATAACCATGCAGAAGAGGAACTAAAGTACAGATATAACATACCAAAAGCAATGCATTGCGAGTAGCACCTTCAGTAGTTACATTACCATATATTGTTGTCAATCCCAATATATCCAAGTCAGGTGATTGGAATGCCATTAATATAGCCATGCTATCATCTGCACATCAACAAAACTCACACTTCAATCTCAAGTTCGAAAGATCAGAACAGCCAGAGATGTGGGAATATAGGGGCTTATTTACGTGTTTGCACAAGCTAAACAAAACGTGATCTAACTGTGTAAAACTAATCACCTAAAAGCTCATTGATAATATATTTTGCTGGATTGTCCGTTGAACCTAACATAAGTCCATCTAATAATTCCAAAATAAGTACATGAATAAGGATCAACAGTCTTTAAAAAGCATCTCGAAACCTCTAACTACCCCCAAGCCCCCAATCCCTCCCCCCCCTCCAACAAAAAACACCAAAAAAAAAAAAGAAGATGGAGAAACCAGGAATATTGTAACTTGAGCAAAAGACGAATATATTATCATCAGTAATGCTTATTTCAATTCCACTATTACGAAAGATTGGAGTAAAGAAGAAAATGCACTCAAAGACTAAATTTTTCTTTAGATTTCCAATATCAAAATTTACTTCCCATTTTTTTTTAAAAAAATTTCTCTCCCACTTTACAAAATACACGATGTTTATATAATATATCTATGTGCGATTGGAGGAGGTATAAAAGGCAAGACAAAATATATAGATTTTAGTCCATATGTTTTTTTCGCTACAAAGGGAACTTTTCTCCCGTTGAGGTAGAATTTGGAAAAGAAAATGCCAAAAATTAGAAATGGCACGCCGAAGGATGGAATAACAGACATAGATTATAGAACCACAAGAATCTAGAAAGCCATAGCATTTTCCCTAATTCAAAAGTACGTAACTTTTTCAATCAAACTTTGCTGTCATAATACTATATTCCAGAACCAGGCCCACTGTAGCCACCAAAAATGAAAGAAACGCACAAACTCAGAGGAAGATACCGCATTATAAATCAAAAAGTTGCAGTAAATCGAATCAACTTTCCAAGACTAATTGAGCTGGGCTCAATCTGAAACTGATATTAGTATTATACTCAGACAACGAAACACAAAAGCAAGGAAATCCTGAAACTCATGAGTTAGTAATTAGTACAAGAAAGGCTGACCAATTCCAGGATCGGTGTCAATGATGAGCTTGTGACGCTTCATGGCACCAGAATTGGCAAAATCTTCGGCCAACGCATCAGCCATCACCAACCCATTAGCGCACCCACCATTAACCACACGGGAATTGGACATCCCTTTCACAGTACAGTTGATTGCAATCTTTCCGGTAGTAGTAATACAAAATTGGTAGATGAGAGTGTGAAAGCAGAATTGAGCAGGGAGGGGGATTGGAGTGCGGGCCTTAGGCACACACTTAATTAGAGAATTATAGGAAAACAAAGACGCAGCCGCTGGGGACCAAATTCATAGTAATTAACAAACAAAGAGAAAAGAAAACCAAGTACTAGTTGTCTAGTACAAACAACTCTTGTTTGAGACTAGACAACTAGTGGTGAAAGAAAGATGGAGGAAGAGTAGTGTAGGAATTGGGTGAGGAAGATGCCGAGAAGGTATGGAAATGCCCTCTTTCCTAAACTGTTTTTGGGTTTCCTAATTTTTTGTTTAAAACGCCATCGCGCACCACGCCTCCTTGTTTTGTGTTTACCTAATGTTTGTGTTTGGAATGGCAGCAACAGATAAACCAAAAACAAAAATAAATAAATATACTTAGTTGGACCTAATTTATCAATAGTGATTAAACTAACATTAAAGATTGGACCATACCCTCGTCCACTTTATTTGTTTAGCAAAGGAGGATAAAGACAAACTAAATTAACCACATAGTTTACAGACTGTCACATTTCTAGGCAAGAGTAACGTGGATTGGGGCTTGAGTATGATTGACATTTGGCAGAGTCCTCGAATTCCGAACATTCAACTCACTTAGTGATAGTCGATTTGTTAGTAGAATATGCTTACTTCCTTGTTAAGCATATCGATTAATATGCGGATTAATTGGGATAGTTTTTTGTTTTTTTTGTTTTTTTTTTTTTTAAGTTTGAGTGGCTTTGGAGATCTGGACATGACTCCGAAATTATAGAATGCTTACATAGATTTTTAATCGTTCACCAACATAATTCTCACATTAGCAGCACAAAAAAGTAGGCCGTTCTTAACAACTATACTACCATATATTGGCGATTTAATTGGGATGGGGTGTGTGTATCATGTTATCCTTAGTTGCCACTAATATTGCTTAGATACCTGAAAAGAAACTTTTCACCTAATTTTTTTCCTTTTTTTAACTATACCAAAAAATAGAATTGTCAATAAGGTTGAGTTAATTCAAGTGCGACCCGCAAAAAAGACCAATAAGCCTTATGTTTAAGAGGATCGGGCAGAGTTTAACCTTAAATAATAGATCTGAATTAAATGTGAATCAAGTTTATGACTCATTAGACTCAAACCTAATTAAGACCTGGCCAGTTCATTTCTGTGTCTCTATATATATAAAATTGCATACTAAATTATATATATAATATATATAGTTATACAGATTATAATATTAAAATATTAATATATTATGTATAATTATCTAGTTAATTATGAACTTGAGTCGAACACTCTATGAGTCCAAAACTCATATTAAATAATGAATCGAGATTGAAACTTTTAATCTAGGTCCAAACCCGAAAGCCTATTTTTTGAGTCAAGCTCGGGCTTGCCAAATTCTAGCTCATAATGTCTAATTGACACCCCTACCAAAAAGTTAGGAGGTTTGTGTAAGCAACTAAGCATACGCAATTGGACGAGGAGGGGCATAGTTACTACGTAATTAGCATGCGGTTTTCTTAATTCGTCCAAGTTGTTTGTTTAGTTTTGTCGAATAAAAGATGACTGGAGGCTGGAATTAATAATTCATAATCCTAATAACCAAAAATGCTCCGCCAAGGGCTCATCTTAGTCTTCAGTTGTTTTTCACCATTTTTTTTTCAGTTGTTTTTTACGATTAATAATAAATCCAGTCATCTTATCTAAACTACGTGATCCCATTGTATTTGATAATTAGATAGTACAATTTACACGCCTCCCCGTGGCCCACACAATAATTGCTAGTTAATTAAACACGAAATGCAGTGCTGACTGCCGTGGGCTGACTCGGCTCCACGTTAGGACCATGGACGCTATTTAGTCTTCGCACCCATCCACCGACTAAATTTCTGCTTGGATCGTAAGTTAAGAGTTTGAATTTCACCTGCGCCAAAGAAAGTGTGAGAGAGCATCTATTTGATCTAATCAGATCCATAAATCTGTTAGTTCCTTATATAATTTTTTTAAATTCTCTTTTCTTGTAAAATAGGATATGATAGGTTAGGTTCTAATTTCTTACATAACCTCTTTACATTCTTTTTCTTTTAAAATACGATAGAATAAATTAGGTTATAAGAATGTTATCGTCGTTAAAAAAAAAAAAAAAATCTTCACACCTATTTTTTTTTTAAAAATATTTTTGGGATAAATGAAATGTCTAGAATGCAAAACTTCTTTCTCACCGGTATACGACGGAATTACTCAAGTGCCCCAGCCGTCTCGAAATTTCCCCAATAGCAAATGCACGAAAAGCCTCAAATTTCTGGCCATTCACATAGACTACTTTCACGATCATGTTTCTTGAATTAACTAGGGAGAATTGCACCAACCATCTCTTACATATCGCTGATGTGAAAATTTAGTCCCGTAGAACGAAAATGATTAGTTTTAGTCCCTAACAAACAAAAAATAATCACATTTAGTCCATTTTTACTTTTTCGAGTAGATTTTGATCGGAATTTACTGGGCCCACATGACGTGTCCAATTTTTAAAAGGTAAAAATGAAAAATCAACTTGACCAGAAATTTGAGGGACTAATGGAGCAGATATTTAGTTAAATATTCATCAAAATACACAAAAACTATTCCACCATTACTTGAAAATCTCTAATTCATCTCAACCCAAAACGAACCATAATTGCAAACTCCTCTTAGTTGATTGAAAATCTTTCGAAGGAAATTCGTGATTAAAGACAAGAAAATAACAAGCAAATGTGCTATAAAAGATAAATGCAAAAAGAAAAATGAAAATGTGCTTCCTCGCCCAAAACATTCTAGCAAGTCTGTCTGGAGTTCCTGGTCAAAATCAAGATGGAAAAAATCCCATAGGCCTAAAGTGGAGAGCAAACTTTGGTGGCTTGCAATATCTAAAGACTGCACTTTTTTGGGTGAAAATGGGATGGGGTTGAAATGGTTTGTCAAAGTTTCCATCTTTTTCTTGTTACAGTGACACGCCATTGGACTATTTCCCTTCTTTCGTGAAGAAACTATGCCGCTTTCAAGCTAGGATTGTTGAACAGGACAATGGCAAAATAATAAAAAGTTTTAGGAGATGAAGGCATGGATTGTATGGGATGTGTCTTTGAGAAACTCTTTGGATCAAAAGCAGTGAGATTTTGTGATAGAAGTGTGATGTCTAAACAAGGCTTTTGATGGGGCTCAAGATTCTGCTCATGGTCGGCTGATGATCGGGGCAAAGAAGAAACTGGCATTTTATGATTTTTAAGGACTTATCTTTGGTGTTTGAGTTTCTTGGGTTTTCGGAGACTTCGGCTCTTAAGAGGCAAATGCAGAGCCTTCCCCAGTGCTCCACGGCTTCAGACATTTCATTTAGGCATTTTACGAACACTTGCAATGCTGACCGACAATGGTGCTGTCATGATCTACAACAGTAGTGCAATTATTGAAGCCAAGAAGAACCCATTCTCCGTCAAAGTCAGGATGCCTCAAAAGCTGGAAGGTGGAGAAATTGTGGAAGTTGCATCCGTCGATCACGCCAAGGTCACCAAGGCTGTCTGCGTTTGTTGCATCATTATCTCTGAACCCAACATATTTGGCATTTCAATCAGCAATTTCCTTCAGATGAATTTCAATCAGCTGCTGTGAGTTTGCAATTAGGGTTGTTTTGGGTTGAGATGAATTGTTAGTAATGGTGGGTTAGTTATATAATTTTAAATGAATATTTAACTAAAGATATGCACCATTAGTCCCTCAAAATTCTGATCAAGTTGATTTTTCATTTTTACCCTTTAAAAATTGGCCACGTCATGTCGGCCCTGTAAGTTCTGGTCAAAATCTGCTTGGAAAAGTGAAATGGACTAAATGTGATCATTTTTTGTTTGTTAGGGACTAAAACTAATCATTTTTATTCTAGGGCACTAAATTTTCACATCAGCGATATGTGAGGGACGATCGGTCTCATTCTCCCAATTAACTAAGCAAAATAAGTTTATTGAATGCGAATTAATTTTTCCTGCACTTGCAGCGATATAATCGCAGGCTGTAGTCTATATCTACGCAGTTTCACCTGTTCCTTTCCGGTTGATAAACAAACATGTAAACAAAAAAACAAAAAAACCCAATTAAACAAGAGGAACAGGCAGGGGCAGAGCCAGAAAAAATTAGGGAGAACTGCACCAATCGTCCCTCACATATTACAGATGTGAAAATTTAGTCCTTCAAAACAAAAATGATCAGATTTAGTGCCTAACAAATAAAAAATGATTACCTTTAATCCTTTTTCACTTTTCCGAACAAATTTTGGCCGGAATTCATTGGGTCCACTTGCAATGCCCAATTTTTAAAGGGTAAATTTGACAAATCACCGTTGACCAATTATGCCAAGGACCAACTTTGCAAAACTTTAGTTAAACATTCATTAAAAAAAACATAAAAATTAACCCACCATTATTTGCAATTCATCTCAACCCAAAATCTTAGGTTGTGTTTGGATTGCATTTTTCATGATTTTTCATGGAAAAATTATTGTAGCGATTTGATGTATGTGAGGAAAAAAGGTAATAGGGAAATGTGATCACGGAAAACGACGTAATTTTCCGACGAAAAACCGCAATCCAAACAAGGCCTTAATACCAAGCAATTCAAACAGTATAGCATTGGCCTTAATAAATCTCACCATCGTGCTCAAGTAAATAAGTAATTTACTAAAATCAATCTCTGATAAAAAAGCATGTACTGATACTAGCACTAGTATAAAGTTCTTGCCGTCCAAATTTATCCACCGCTTTCATTTCTTAATGGCCGCCTGAGCTTCTTCCCAGAAGCCATTATCACAAATGCAAAGCCCTTGTTTTTATCATCTTTTTGCTTTATAACTTGCCACATCCAAGAAAAACAAAAACCACCCCTCAAAATCACTTCTTCAACAAATTCATCCAAGAAAAAAAAATAGAAAACATGATTCAAAATGACTCCTTTAACAAATTCATCGAGATAAACAAGACCCACCATTTAAAAATCACTTCATTAACAAATTATGTAGGACAAACAAAACCCACGATTTAATGTCACTTCAATAACAAATTCAGACCCAAAAGAAAAAAGAACAACCAACTAAAATCATTTCTTCAACTTCAACAAAAGTATCCAAAGTAAATTCTTTAATAGAAATACCAAACTCATGGAAGTACCTCAACATCAGTAACAGTGCCGCATTCAGCAAAGAGGTTCTTGATATTAGCAA